TGGGGGGCAAACAGGGGCTAAGTTGGGCCATTACATAATGATGCATAATGTAAAATAATGACAACTTTTAGGAAAAATGAGTCAGTGTTACGTACGTTATTCCCACACCTTCCCATTAAGGAGGCTGTCTTAACTTTGTTTAAAGTCTCTTACCACTCAAACTATTTATTTATACAAACTGCTTTAACCACATGGACCATAGATGCCTATTTAAAGATCGTCAAAAAGAATATAATATATTTTTGAGAAGATAATGTCATGTATTATTTTTAATTTGGCTTTTAAATGGAGAGCTTTACTTTAAGTGAAAGAAACTCCCATAACTAATAGAGGCTTCTAATGCGTTTTTTTTTTTTTTTTAATTATTTTCTTTTTATCGAGATTAAAAGCTAGAAAGGAAGGGCGAACTCAAGTGGTGATAGTAGTATCTTAATAGATAGCTCTTTAAATTAACACCCACTCTTCTCTTTTTCAAAAATACCAAAACACGTCAACAAAGAATATTTATTAATAATAAAACAACCTATAAAATGTTAAAGCATAAATTAACAAAACGATAGAGATACTTCACAAGATCTAAAGAATAAAAAAGTCAAATTCCATATCTTGCGTGACATTTCAGTACTTTGAACTAAAAGATGTAGGGCTGGATATGGTCCGATTTTGAAGAGAACCGAACTGAATCGAAATTTTAGAGTATTAGTAAGTGGAACCGTCGGTCCAAATTTAATTATGGAATCGTTCGGATCCGATTCCATTCGGTTCCCATATTCTGTACAATAATTAATTTCTTTATATCTACAGCAATGTTACATTAATTCGATTATGTCATGTTCAATCTTAACTATTACAAAATAAAGTAGTACAATCTGATGATATTTTTTACACATTTCTTTGTTGAGTTTTTCATAGATTTGACTGTTAAAATCACAAGAAGAGAAAGATAATGAATTCACAATAATAGAATGACAGAAACAACACTACGGTAGAATAAGAGATTTTGGGTAAAATTTAGGCCAATTTAATTAAGTTGGGTTTGGTTGAAAATTGACAATAATAAAATCATATTTTAGGTTTGAATTAAATTAATTAGTTAACAAATTTATTTAGAATTTTTTTTAACTTAAAATAAAAAATTAAACAAATTAGGGTGATTGGTTCTTATTCGGTTTTAGGTCTAGAACCAAGAATCAAACCAAATTCGTCGGTTCTCAATTTAAATACTCGTTCGGGTATTTAATTTAGGAAGAATCACTCGATTTGGTTCGATTCAGTTCAGTTCAGTTCAGAAGTTTTGTCCAACGTTAAAAAGATGCATCGTTAAACTTGAGAAGCTCAAGTCATCGATGGAGGTTATTGTTGAGTAGCGTGGTGTGCGATGATTAAGATTAGACTGTAAAACGATCCATTAGACAAATTTATATAAAATCATGCACATACATAAAATACCAATGTTCTGAAAATAGGATAAATGAACCGGTTCCAAAATTGGTCTATATAAAATTGATTAAAAAAAATCAACCGATTCAACCTTATTTAAATATTTTTCCCACCAGTTAAACCTCAATTCAACTATTTTTTTTATCTTTTTTTTTTGAGTGATTATCAAGCTAATTTTGAATGCATTAAATAAAAATATATATGTGTGTTTAATTGCAAGCATGAAACTTGCATTAAAAAAATAAGTTCTTGCATAAAAAATTATTAATTAAATGTGTTTGATTGATTTAATTTTCAATCTGGATAATATTATACGTGTCTATCTTCTATTGATG